AGTTGCAATGAACCATATTTCCTAACTTCTATCTTTTTCATTCATCTTTATGTTTTTAACCCAGTGATGTGTGGAATCATTGTCTGCTGTCAGGTGTGGAACCTGGTAATAATCAAGGATGCAGTTTTGAAACCTGTAACATTATAGCCTAGAAGTATTGCACTGCTGATTTGTGGTATCATTATTGTGATAGACTTTGCAGCTTTAAGAGCACAATTCAGAACAACTCAGGACCCTTTGGCTTATTTTTTACACCATCAGCAACCAATGTTTAATTCCTTTGGCTATTGGTAAAGATTTGTTTTGTAAACCAGGGCCTTTGGTTGTATTTAAACAGTATTCTTTTTTTCTACCAATATCTCATTTCCTCTGGCTGCTGGCTATTACCCAATATGTATAGACTCATGCCTTAAAAATTATTGATCTCTTATTTGTTAATTGGTCTACTGAAATTAAAGTCTACGTTGGCACATTTACATTTTAATCAGATACATTTTTGGATCATTTGCAGTCAGGGGGCGACTCATTCAGAGCATAAAATATTTGCAGAGCAGTTTCTGGACATGACCAGAATCTATGAGTGTTTAAAAGTGAGCAAAGCTCCAGTAAAGAGGAGGAGTAGACATGAATACTGATGTTAAAATAGATACAAGCATTTGTGTGCTTGTATCTTGTGTGCTGAAGAAACACACAGCTCAACAAAATAACAAATAAATAACACATCCTAGATCTAAATCAATGAAATATTCCCCTTGAATTGTACAAAGTTGAATGAGCTGAAAACAAAATCATACAAAGTCCATCCATTTTTTTAAAAGCTTACCCTAAGCGGGGTCGCGAGTGGTGCTGGTGCCTATCTCCAGCTGTCTATGGGCGAGAGACGGGGTACACCCTGGACAGGTCACCAATCTATCGCAGGGCAACACAGAGACAAACAGGACAAACAACCATTCACGTACATAGGAGAATTTAGAGAAGCCAATTTGCAACATGATCGTGCAGTGATTGGTCCGAACACGGCAACCGAGATAACTGTTAAGTGTAAATTGCAGACCTGAACCGGGCCGCGCCAAACACAACCAAACCGTGCTAACATGGTACTAGTTCATCAGTAGAGCTCGGCGCTGTTCAGTTCTGGTGCAGTTCTCTGATAACAAAGAGCGCACGAGTAGACCGCGTCATCTCCTTATGTCAGCCTCCGTAATCATGAAATTTTAGACATTCATAAAAACACTAGCTTCCCTACTGTGCCAATGATTTCCAGTGATGATTCTTCTTAGTAGTGTGATGAACCTCAACTCCTGTCACTGCTTCCTGTGTCTGTAAGCCCTGATTCGACTATCGTTTGTTGTATCTACTTCCCATAAACCGACTCTGTCAAGTTAATTCACCAAAAGCTGCCTTCTTCGCCTGATTCAGGTGCCGATTCAGGTGCCGCCATGTTGGTTTGCTTGTTTACCTCTAGAGAGCAGTAGAACCGTAGATCATCACTAGGAGGCGAAGAACTGTGCTAGAGTGGTGTGTAAACAGCCTTAAGGAACAGAGCTCGGTACTGTTTTCAGAGGGTCGTGTAAATAGGGCTCTAATGTCCCAGTTGTGCTCAAACAGATTCAGGTCTGTGGAACTGGTGGGCAAGTCCATAGCTTCAATGCATTCATCTTGAAGGAACTGCTGACACAGTTCTGCCACATGAGATCTAGCATCGTTCTGCATTAGGAGGAACCCAGGGCCTACCGCACCAGCATATGGTCTCACCATTGGTCTGAGGATCTCATCTCGGTACATAATGGCAGCCATGCTGCCTCTTGCAAGCACATGGAGGGCTGTGCAGCCCTTGATATGCCACCCCAGACCATTACTGACCCACTACCAAACTGGTCATGCTGAAGATGTTGCAGGCAGTAGATCGCTCTCCAAGATGTCTCCAGACTCTGTCACATATGCCCAGTGTGAGCCTACTTTAATCTGCGAGCAGCACGGGGCGCCAACGCTAATTTACCAGTCCTGTTGTTCTCTGGCACATGTCAAGCATCCTGTACAGTGTTGGGCTGTGAGCGCAACCCCCATCTGTGGATGTCGGGCCCTCATACTATCCTCATGGAGTCAGTTTCTAACCCTTTGTGCAGACGCATGCACATTTGTGGCCTGCTGTAGGTCATTTTGTAGGGTGAAAAAAGGCAGGTCTTCCTAATGGGTTGTTGCCCTCCTATGGCCTCCTTCACTTTTCCTGGTAGCGCCTCGAGGCTCTGGACACTAACCTGTGAATAAGTCCTGTTCATTCTGTTCATCACTTCAGACTTTTTCTTTCCTTCGTTCCTCTTTTTCTGAATTGCCAAATAAAGACGCACCTGTCAGGCTTTCAGTTGCCCATACCAATTCTCAGTTTCATTGTAGCTTTACTTCCAAATTTTAAACACTTGTGTTTTCTTTTTGTAAAAGGGAGGTTATTCACTAGAAGTTGTCCTTTTTTAATCCGACAGAAATAGAAGGAACTTTACATCCCCGTTATGCATCAGAACATCATACATTTGATAAAAATTATTATTGAACTCAAAATAATTGAAAGCACTGATTTCGGTATTTGACTTATCAATTAAAGGAAAACTTTTTTGAAGTTTCTATTCAGAGAGTTATACTGCCATATATCTATATAGGGATTCTTCAGGAGTATAAGAAGTTATCTCTTGGGTTTGGACATGGATGACCAACAATGTGGCTCCTAAATATAGTTTACTGAAAAAAGAACTGAAAACAACATTTCTTTTATAAGCCTATGATTATATCAGTTTAGTCATATTGTCAGCGTTGTTCTTTATATCCAACTGTAAATAATAATTAAGGGTCAACTGCAGTGCAATGTAGTTGCTTTGAAAAGTGTAGGAAATATGTGTTGAAACAAGGTGCAATCTGATTCACGTAGAGCATTTATTAAACAAAACAATCAAACTTTGTCTGACAGGAACGTCTGCAGGCTTGAGAATGTGGAAGCTGAAGTGATTGTGTTTCAGAAGTCCCTTGGCTGTGATGGATTGTGCATTAGAAGTGTGTTCCGGTGGCTGTGAGCTGACTAAAACGGTGTGTAATAGAGAGCGGTTGGGGTAAATCCAGCGCAACCCAGAGTCAATGGCTCTTTGTGGAGGAAGCACCTGCAGGGCTCTGCCTTCTGCTCCTGAAGTGATTAACATTCACCTCCAAACTCTGCGCTCTTTCCACTCTGCAGCCCCTCAGCCACCGACCCTGATTCTACTCTGTTGACTTGGCACCTGCTCGGCATCAGCCATCGTACAAAGCCCATAACTCCTGTTTCTTTCTAGATAGCCAACACAAAGTGATCACAAAACCATGTTCATTAAATTCTCTCCTGACCCTGTAAAATCAAGCTGTTAAACTAATGTTTTACTGGTTTAATTAGAAGT